ACTCAGACCGATCGGTCTAGACCTAGATCGATCGGTCTACACGGCTCGGTCTCCAGGTCAAGGTCGGTCCAGAACTTTCGGTCCGGAATGGTCCAGACCGATCGATCTACACATGCAGACCGTTCAGTCCGGACCTGTCGGTCCAACCGACATGCAAAACCCTAGACCGATCGGTCCAGAGGACCAGACCGATCGGTCCAGGCGAAAACGTGATCAGATCTCGTTTTCGTCGTTTCTGCCCTGTTTCAGACCTGAATTCGACTCCGTTTTCGCCTGCGAACTCAGAATTCGAAGCTCTTGCACATTATGCAACAATGAACAGAAAATCTACTCTAGATCCACAATCAAATCATGCATAGCATCAAAGCAAACACGGATTCAAACAATTCAACTCCTATAACGTGCGTGATCGGGTTCTAACAAAATCATGCAGAGCAACCAGGCTCTGATACCACTGTTGGACTTCCTGGGTTCTCATGAGCGAATCTAATTCCTAAGAGATCAGTTCTAGGGTTTGCGCAACGGATGTAAAACAAAAATTTTGATAAAACCCTAAAACCTATCATGCATGATCTTGTAGAAACGTTAGAACGCTTACCTCAATCGTTCTGGGGCCTGTATCAATTGATGTATTTGTCCGATCACTGTAGGCAGGAAGAATACCTTGCCCTCTACACGTATCCACACGGCGGAAAGGATTCCAACGGTTGGAACTTGTCTGCTAGGGCTGAAGAACACGTTCTTCTTTGCGCAAGGGTTTTAGGGATCTAACTCTTATGTTTTTCACTCTCAAAACCTCTCAATAGGGTCTGAAAGTCTTGCCCAGAGGTTTAGGAGGCGTTCCCTAAAGTTAATCCCACTTAAAACCCTAATTAGAGTGAGGTTAGGAAATCCCGACGTCTGGACCGATCGGTCCATGTCTGGACCGATCGGCCTGGAGCAATTTCCGGACCGAGTGATTGTCACACATTACCTCCGGACCGACTGGTCCAGACCTTCTGGACCGGTCAGTCTGGCCTCCGCTCCACTGGGATTTTCTCGTCTCTTCTCGCGCATTTGTCCTTTCCTGTGTGTGTGACCCTATAGGTTCATCCGATATAGCAGTATAACCCGAAATCTCTTATTTCGGTTACACAAGTCATAGGCGGTCTCTAGCAAGAACTATGACTACCTATCTCGAACAGAGTTTGTTCGTGATCTTACGAACGCCAGTGATGATTCAGGTTGATGATCCTTTTGTATCGCGATATCATATGTCGAACATAAGGCATGGACATGCCACCTTATCTGATTCGACTGCTTTCTCGTTCACTGACTTCGACTGTCTGAAATAGACGATGTTTGTCTATAGTGCGGCCACACATTTCTACAGTCTCGCTCACACGAGGGGCCCAGCGATATCTCTCTCTTTTACGAGAGGTACAAATCCCGTCTTGACTATCTACAATCCAGCACATGATTCGTTTCGTACCTGATACATGCCTTTATAGTCCTCCTGTTATGCAGGACGTTTGAGGTATTCAAAGCACGCAACTCCTTGTTGGTTGTAATGCTCTAGGATGATCCGTGATATGACATTTGACTTTGTATTGATTCATTGATTTATGAATGCATTATTTATCCGTTATACGATTAGCATATTTGTTGTATTTCGGCATCCTTGAATCATTAGAGAATGATTCTAATCTCCCTAGTCAGTCATCATTGTGGGAACAATGTTGAATGAAGACTAGCATGAGGTGTGATCAACGCGTTGGATGTAGATCACAATCATGGGTACTCGTTGTGAACGAGTGACTGGATGACCCGCATGAGATTGTCACATGGACTAGCTCATGACTTGAATCTCATACAGCGGTTCGTTTATGGATCCTCCTACCTGAGATGTCTAGAGTATCTGATATGAGGAGTGGCGTGTCTTGACTGCGTCAAACGTCGTCTTTAACCGGATGATTATAACGGCGTTGATCAGATACGTTCACGAATCATATGGAGATAGTAGACATGCAATATGGGATTTGTCACCTCCTTAACAGGAGAGATATCGCTGGGCCCTCTCGTGGAAGTCGGACTATGAAAACGCGTGGCCACGCTATAGATGAAGTTGCATCTATTTTACTAGTCGATTTGCCAAGACGAGAAAGCAGTTGAACTTGAAGGGTGGCTCAAACCATGCCCTTGTTCAACTTATGATATCGTGAGACAAAGGATCAGAATTCGAGCTGTTAATGCCTTGGTTAGATCACCTCTAACTCAATTCTAAATGGGTGGTCATGGCGTCTTGCTAGAGGCTAACCATGACTTGTGGTTCGGAAAAAGTTCCTAGAGTCACTACCACTTAGAATGGGCCTACAGGGTCACACACCACTAGGGATGGACTTATACGTGAAGAATACGAAGAATGGAAACGAGATTTGACCGAAGCGAGCATGAAAAGGAGTTTTCAGTGCGTTGGTCCGGGGCTGACCAAGTTTGGTCAGCCCTGGACCAAGTTTGGTCAGTCCGGGAGGTCCGGAAGCTCGGTTCGCGGTCATCTGTCCAGGTCTGGTCTGGCTGACCAAGAGTTGGTCAGCCGCTGACCAGATTCTGGGACAGGCGGACCGAGAAATGACGGGTCGGACTGAGCTGACCAAGAAGGGTCTTGGTCCGGAGCTGACCACACGTGGTCCGTCGGACCAAGCCTTCAGGTCAGCCGGTCCGTGGGCCTCGGACTAAGCTTGGTCCACCGGACCAAGCTCCTGGTCCGACGGACCGGGATCCGGAAAGTTTCGGCGGACCGGGATCTGGGAAACTTTCCAAAATTCGATTTTAGGGTTTTCTAATCTTATTTAAGTTTGGGATTTCGTCCAAACTTAATTAAGAGCCGACCTAAAACTTAGAGAAACATCCTAGAACCCTAGAGAACATGTTCTCTTCGATTTCTATTGTCCCGGGATTGGATCTTGTCTCTTGAGTTACCCTTTTCTTCACTAATCCTAGCAGATTCGTTCCAAATCGTTTGGAATCCTTCCCGTCGGTGTGGATACGTGTAGAGGGACTGTAACTTCAGTCCTAGGTGATTTAGAACAGGCCCCGGATCGAAATAAACTTCAAGTCTCATCGAGAACGAGGTAAGTAACGATTCCCTCGGTGATGTACACGATCTTTTGGGTTTTGCGAGTTTGGTTGCGTGTGACGTTTGACTAGGTTTAGATTTTTCTTCCGCTGCATGAAACCTAGTAAACCAAACCTTAGATCGATATGATCGCATGCTAGAGACCCGTAGATAACCCAACACTCCTCATGTTGGATTTCGTAGATATCTCAGGTCTTAGGATCCAATCATGGAACCGCCATAGACCCGTAGATAACCCAACACTCCTCATGTTGGATTTCGTAGATATCTCAGGTCTTAGGATCCAATCATGGAACCGCCATATGAGATTCAAGTCATGACGCTAGTCCATGTGGCAATCTCATGCTGGTCATTCCACTATTCTGTTCTCCAACGAATGAATACCTATGATTGTGATCGTATCCAACACGAGACCTTTTTAGCGCGTTTTGTCTTTATAATTATTTAAAAACGAAACAAACTAGATAATCACTCAAATTATCTAGTAAGATATTCAAGAAAAAATAAATAAAAAACTTATCATCTTCTATAAAATTGTTGATATATACACCAAGTTTACATCGAAAATTTATTTGTTTCAAATAACTAAAGTCGTCGCGATAAAATCCAGAAAATTTCACGAAATTTGACACGTTAAACTCACGAAATGGGTTCACAAGGTTCAATATTGTCATGCAAATGAGCGGTTTTGAATTTAACTCGTCAAAAGTCGATCATTAAATTTTTGGAGATGCAAATCTATTAAAAGTATAAAAATAATATAACTGGTAATAATGCAAATTGTTTATATTTTTTTTTTCTTCTTGAATCCACATAATCGTTTTTATATTGATAATTTTAATATCGTGTTTTTCACAAAAAAGAATACATATTATTTAGGAGTGAATCTCGTCCAATATTCTTTTATTGTTATAATAATTTTTTTATAAATTTCACCAATTAAATTAAGAAACATATATGAACAAATAAAAAATAAAATTGGTTGATATATAATCATAATATTTAAATATTTAAATTTCACCAATATTCTTTTATTGTTATATTTTTTTTTTTTATGTTTGTCTATATTTTGTTAGAAAAAAAGAGAGAAAAGATTAAAAAAACATATAGAAAATCTATATATATATATTAATAATTGTGTTTAAAGGATTGTGGTGAGGACACATCATCCTTCACTCATCATAATCATCTTCCACATCATCATTTATGTGATAGTCTTTTTTTAATTTTTTTTACATTTAAAATATTTATATATAGATTAGAGTAAAATAAGTTTTTTAAAATAAAAACTAATAAAAAATATTTTTCTGTTTTAAGTTCTTTCAATTCTCTTTGATTCACTAATGTTTACATATATTATTGGTTCATTTTTTAAATAATTCTAATTTATATGAAAATAATTTTATATTATAATAGAAACTAATAATATATATATACTTCATTAAATAATAAATACTCTATTAATAATTAATAAAATAATTAATTATTAAAAATAATATAAAGAACAGGAAAAAAACGCACAATGCATATAGTGATAATAATATTTGCGATATTTAATAATTAATTAAGGGTCATGTAATTTCAAGCGTCGATTATTAGCTCCCTAATAACTTGTAAAGCTAATTGTAACGCTAATATTCATCTAGAAATATTAAATAGTTATAACATTGATGTCTTAAAAGCCACGTACTAAAAATTTCTTAAAACACGAGAATAAAACAAAAACCGGTCAAGAATTTGAAAAGTCTTATTCGTTAATACATTGAAGACCGCATTTAACTAATATGTAACTGATATTTGTTTGGTGAAAGAATATGTACCGGAACTCTTTCTGGGTCTTATTTATTGAATGAAGCAACCAAAGATTGTGCTTCTCATAGTCTTCTCGGGTAAGATTGTGATAACCGAGGGCAAGGTGAGAGGTGACACATATACAATGTTTGAGAATATATATCCTGCGCTTACAGAATTCGTCCAACAAAATCCGCGGCCGACTTATTCCGATGTCTGGGTCTTTGCGGATTTGTAGCGGTAGCAGTATCCGAAGCGCCAAGTGCAGTCACTTTTGTATTGCCCTTTTGAGTAATTATGAATTGTGAGATGAAGGAAAAAGAGGAGCGGAAATTGATTCAATTTGGCTGATTGTTTACATATTTGCTCTCATCATTTGAAAAAAAAAGATATATTTCTGGATTCTTCTGCATGTTTTTTATCAAGAGACCAATTTCATGGTCCAAGGTCAAATTCATCGGAAGTAATTTCAATTATTTTCACAACTAATCAAAGTTTATAAGCAATTTCTTTATGCGTTAACCCTTTTACCGCATTTAATAAATGCATTCCAGCTCCTCTTACGTAGGTTCTGGAGTTACATCTGTGCAGCTCGGCGATCCACGGCGAAGCCAACGACAGCTATGGAAGAGGAGGAGGAAGAAGAAAAAAAGGCAGTAGACGCAGAAGGAACAGAAACACATGTATGTGTGAAAATTTATGTATGTGTAAAAATTCCGACAGGATTAAGAATAAATTTCAGACGATCACCTGAAAGTTGACAAGAAAATACATAGCTATGACTTTTATTCATATTCTTTTTTTTCCTCGATCAATGTGTCCTCTTTTCTTTTGTTAAAATTATTGGGTTTTCTTCCATCCAAATCAGTCAACGACTATTTCCAAGACTCATCAATCGGAGAAAACAATGACGCGACCAAACGAGGAGGTGGGTCCACAATGAGGATGAGGAAATTCAGCGGTAGGAGCATCGGGTTTAACCGTAGAGGTCAAAGTTTTTGAATTCAAGGAGGAGCATGTACAGGGGAAGAAGCTCGCCATTAACATGCAAAACCTCGAGTTCTTTAGCAGCGGTCATGGTTTAGATGCTTTCGTAAATAGGCACACATGTATGGATCACTGAGGAGGAGGAGAACAACGTTTTGGTGGGAGTCATTGACTATGTTGATATTTTGGGCGTTGTAATTGTGGCACCTTCTGCTTTGGTTTCTCTTTGTGTCCATCATACGGAGGTTTTGGTAATGAAATTCAGAGTTCATAGTAAAACGGGTACAAAAAACAATCTATACAAGATTTTGGCAAATAAACAAGAATTCAAGATGTTAAAGGTTTATGAAAATTTTTTGAAAGTCCATCTAATTCTAAATATATATAATATAAAATTATTTCATAATTATATTGAATTGACTAACACCTTTTATTATTTTTATTTCATTATTATATCAAATTAACTAACATTTTTTACTATCTATATAATTCATGTAACATATCACTTGACACATTATTATCTATAAGAAAAGAATAAAAAACTCAATTTAATCAATAAAATAGATTTTATGATAGATATAAAAAATTAACTATTATTAAAATAAACAATAATTATAATATTTAATAATATTGAAAATTGTAATAAAATTATGGAGAGAATTTTCAATAGAACTATATTATTATTATTATTATTATTATTATTATTATTATTATTATTATTTATGTGTATATATTTATTAGAAATTTTTAATAAATTTAAAATGAATAGAGTTTGTTCGTGATCTTACGGGTTTTGGTAATGAAATTCAGAGTTCATAGTAAAACGGGTACAAAAAACAATCTATACAAGATTTTGGCAAATAAACAAGAATTCAAGATGTTAAAGGTTTATGAAAATTTTTTGAAAGTCCATCTAATTCTAAATATATATAATATAAAATTATTTCATAATTATATTGAATTGACTAACACCTTTTATTATTTTTATTTCATTATTATATCAAATTAACTAACATTTTTTACTATCTATATAATTCATGTAACATATCACTTGACACATTATTATCTATAAGAAAAGAATAAAAAACTCAATTTAATCAATAAAATAGATTTTATGATAGATATAAAAAATTAACTATTATTAAAATAAACAATAATTATAATATTTAATAATATTGAAAATTGTAATAAAATTATGGAGAGAATTTTCAATAGAACTATATTATTATTATTATTATTATTATTATTATTATTATTATTATTATTTATGTGTATATATTTATTAGAAATTTTTAATAAATTTAAAATGTATTAATTTTTAATATATTTATAGTAATACAAAATTCTATATATGATGAACTAATATAATTCGAAAACATTAATAATTATTTGAAGGTGGATAAGTAGAAGAAGAATTTTAGACCTGAATAGAATATCCAAAGATTTATAGAGAGACTCTCCGATAAACCTAGATTATTATTATTCAGAGAGATGGATACGGATACCCATAGATACCCGAACTCGACAATTTTTAATCATAAATTTTTTAAAAATTTATAAATATATAAATTATATATAAATAATTTATAAAATTACTGAAAAATATTTAAAATATTTAAATTTTAAATGATTATATAATAAAATAATATTTTTTTATGTATACAAAGATAAAAATACAAAATAATTGATATATATCTTTATACTTTTTTTAAAATAAATATTATTTATTTTTTATTATTCGGATACCTGCGAATAATTAACCGATTCGAAATATAAATCTGATCCCAAACCTAAATTTTAGGTTTTAGATATTTTAAAACCCGATCTCTATCTCAGAAATCAACAGATATCCAATTTTAGGTTTTAGTCTATTTATGTATTTATAACTTTGAATCATTTTTAAAAAGTTATATTATAAGATTTTTATTATTATAATAATTCAAATTTTACGATAAAATAGACTACAAAATATTATTGATTTTTTTAACAATATTATAGTTAACTAATAATCTCACCATATTAAAATTACCTTATTTTTAACAGATAAGAAATAACAATAATTTTAATTTAATATAAATGAGTTTGATTATTCCAATACATAATTTGAAATTTTATTTTTTTTAATAAATTTTTAACAAATTTTTCCATAATTTTTATGAAATAGACAAGTTGAATCATAAATCATTGATATATTAATAATATCAATACTATATAAATTAATTAATATTTTTTTATGACTATGATGCTTTATCATGTTATTATTTCATCATCTATAAGGATTTATAAGGATTTATAAGGATGTATAAATCAAAACCATCAAAAAGTTATTTTTTACACATCGAATAACAATAAATATCGAAAAGAAATGATTTAATAATATAAATTATTTTATAATCTAATAACAATGATATTTATATTCTTTCATTTCTTCACTTTTTATTATATAAATGATTTAATAATATAAATTAACTTTATATATACTATATATATATATATATGTAACAACCCAGTTTTAAAAAAATAATAAATAAAATACGCCCGTTTTGGAAAACCCAGAACGGACGGACCGCATAGGAACAGACCGTCCGTTCCAGACAGTCCCGGAACGGACGGGCCAGACTGTCGGCCGCGACGAAAGTCGCAATTTTCGTCCGGATTCGACCTGAAAACGACCCCTGCGCACTAAACCCGACCAAAAACCCAACTTTTGACCCTGGGTCCGGATTTATGTCAAAAATACCGCCTAATCTCGTCCTTAATTAACCCCTTCTGCCCTCACTTGTTCTTCAACTTCGACCCAGAAATTCTCTCTCAAAATCTGAAGATTTACTCTCGATTCGGTCTCTACAGAACAAGGAGAGCATCACCAAGCTTCCCATCCATCATCCAATGCGCGAATCTAACCCGAGGTGAGTGAATTCGAGTTTAATTCGGAAGTCTGTGTCGACAGTTTTTTGGGTGTTGAGTGATTTCATGCAAAATTGATGTTTGATTCGTGTTCTCCATGAAATTATATGAGTTTTGATGAATTACCCATAGTGAATCGTGCATGTTTGAGTGATTTTGGTGAGATCCGAGGATCAGAACGTCCGGTCTGAGGTCAGACCGTCCGTTCTAGGTCCGCAGCAGAAAACGCGAAGTCCAGAGGTTGAAGATGAAGTCCGGAACGTCCGTTCTGCACTAGCCAGATCGTATGTTCTGGTTAAGTCGGAACGTCCGTTCTGGACAAGTCAGAACGTACGTTCTGGACCAATCAGACCATCGGGTCTGGACACTCCAGAACGCCCGTTCCAACCGACTGGACCGATCGGTCTAGGACTAGACCGATCGGTCTGAAAAAAAAAAAAGAGTAACGGAACTTTAAAATTTCACCATGTGGAAAATTGAAAAACTCAACAAGACGAACCTAGTATTACCCCGGCTCAAATTGTGAAAAAGTGAAAAATATAAAATATATCGGAAATACGGAACAGATCGGACCCCACGTGGTCTGGACCCAAAATGAATAACAGGTAAGGTTAAAAACCACGGAATGAACCGAACTGGTTATCCGAGCGGACCGGGACCAGCTAAGTCGTACCGGAGGTACAATTCGGTAATATCAATGAAGAGACTCAAAGAAAATATACAATTAAATATAAAAGTCTACGCAAGCGTAAATGCATGTATAGTAGATAAACTACATAAATGCGTGTGACTGGGGTAGCTGGCATGGCACTAGCGTTAATTCGGAAGGGTTCGGATTAACGTTTAGCGCGTGATTGTAGAAACGGGCGTTTGTGAATGAATGCACGATGATTGCGAGATTGCGTCCCATCTATGGGCCATCCGATCCGGGTCGGTTGCCACCCATATGGGATATGATTGTGATTGTGGCGATGATACGATCGCGCCAACGGCCGAACGATCGGACGGTTATGGGCACCCCGATGACTTGCGTGGATAGCCGATTGTAGTCGGTACTATTGCGTGACGAGGAACACACGGTTCTTGAAACCGCGCCAACGTTTCCGCTAGCGACGGAGCGGACCCCGGGATATGAGTATCCCGAGGAAAAGGGCATTATATACCTGAGATTCGGGTAGATTGGGGTCTCCCGAAGAGGTGGGACGGACTTACTCTGCCAGGTTCGGGCCCGAACCTGACAAGTATTTCCGCGGCGGATGGTCGGCGAGGGAGAGTTGCAGCGATGGGCTCTCTTGTTATAGTCGATGGCGTCAGTTGTAGCCGACGTCCGGTGAGCTCCGGTATTGAGAGGTGACATCAATGCCGGAGTCGGGTGACACGCCTAGCATCGAGAGGTGACATCGATGCTAGGGTGGGGTGATGTGTTCGGGCAGAGAAAATAAAAATATACTTATGCCGGATTCCGAGTGGTTGCGGAGTAGATGGATTCCGAGGAGAGAGAGAGGCGATTGTGCCATGCACATGGGGAATACATTACCTACGCATGGTGCGCGTAGAGACGATTTGACGGACTCTGTCCTGCGACTTGTCGTACGGACTTGATTGTGATTGCTGCATGCTTACAGTGATTTCTGTTGGTTTAGTGCTCTATGATGTACTGATTATGAGCTTTGTTCAGATACATTCGATGTATTGATACTTTCTATATGTTTTTTTATGAGAGTATCTTGTTCATTACATGTTCCTGCATGCTAGATCTGTTATGAAATCCATGTATCATTATGAATGATACTAAACTCCCTAGTCTTGTGTCATTATGGGAATAACGACATAATAAGACTAGTATGATGTGTGATTGATGATCACATAGATGATCATAGGTATTGGATACGATCACAATCATAGGTATTCGTTGCAGAACGGAATACTGGACTGACCCGCATGAGATTGTCACATGGACTAGCGTCATGACTTGAATCTCATACGACGATTCCATGATTGGATCCTAAGACCTGAGATATCTACAGAATCCAACATGAGGAGTTGCGTGCTTTGATTACGTCAAACGTCCTGCGTAACAGGAGGACTATAAAGACGTGTATCAGGTACGAAACGAATCATGTACTGGATTGTAGATAGTCAAGACGGGATTTGTACCTCTCGTAAAAGAGAGAGATATCGCTGGGCCCCTCGTGTGAGCAAGACTGTAGAAATGTGTGGCCGCACTATAGACGAACGTCGTCTATTTCAGACAGTCAAACTCAGTGAACGAGAAAGCAGTCGAATCAGATAAGGTGGCTTGTCCATGCCTTATGTTCGACATATGAT